TGTGTGTGTGTTTTCTTTTGTTTTCTTTTTTAGCTTGCAGCTGTGTCTTTCTTTTCCTCTCTTTAGTGCCTCGTTGCTCTTTACATTCTTTACATTTTGTCCCTTTCACGTGTGCAGTGGGACAATACTGAGTGAGTGTGTGTTAGTTTATTGACTCTGTGCATCTCATTACTTTTAACAGGAGGCCTCTGGTTGTTTGTTGTTTTGAATATTTATTTTTTTTACACTGTCAACAAATCTAAATAATATGTGACATCAGTATTTGCTTCTGAGCTCATCATTATTAAATGTCTAAATATTTCTGCTCATGGGAAAGATGACAAGAGCAGAGGTGGCTGTTTCAAGTATTTTGGACTGCACTGACTTGTCTGTTTTATTTATGTTTATGAAATGTACTAGTACTATCCTTAAGCCACTGTACATCCCATTTCTGCCAGCTGTGTCTCCTTTTGTAGCTTCACATGTAGTTTTTGTAAAACTATCAGTGTAGCGCTGTTGTTCATTTGTTTGTGCTGTGATTTTCTTTTCTTTCACACACAATGTAAATGTCCTAAGTATGGAGGTTGTTTATTATCATAAGTGATTTTGCTGTTCTGTTTTGTGTGATAAAACATGTCTATATTTTCCGTATGTGATGACAGTTAATTCATTACGTACAGTAGAGGTAGTTCACCATCATGAGGATGTTTTATCTGTACTAGTGAGTTTATTCTACCTCTTGATTTTTCTCTACCTTCCTTTCTCTCCAGAACAACATGCTAAACTTGGCAGCTGACTTCTCGGCCATCAAGGAGCTTGACTCTCTCAGTAACGAGATTGTTGAACTACAACGGTAATGTTTTATTCTCATAATCATTAAAAACCTATAAGCACCGTGCACATTGTTGCTGAAACAGTATTGGTGGAGGTTACGGCATTGGTGGTGACAAAAGATGGCGTGGAATTTTCCATTTAATACTTTTGGTATGTTGATCTGATGATCTGAGAGACAAGAAAATAATTTGACTAGTTATGACTGGTGTTCATCAAATGTTGTCAAAAATAATTTAAGTCTATAAACACCCAGGACTCCCTCATGAAAGCTCTTACAGCAAGTGATCGCATAGTATCTTTTTATTGCTCTGTATCATATACTGACCAACAGGAGGCAGAGTTTTCCCCAACCCAGAATTTATTTCTAATGGCTGTGTATAGATAGATGGTTGCTGATGAGCTATTGGAAAACACTGATACCCAGTGGTCAAATGAAAAACTGACATCACATTCATATTGGACGTCTTTTTTTTATGTAGCACCATTAGTATTAATTAATATATAGATACACTTTGGTTGAAATGCCTATATAAATTTAATATATTCAGACACATTGAATGATTTATACTCCCTGCTCATCGCACCTATATACAATTCTATCACTCTCACACTCTCAGACATTGACAGTGAGGTGAATGCGGGAGAGTGACAAACAGATTATGCATTATGTGACTCACCTCCCCTTAGCTTTTCTTCTTCTAAACATCTAGCAAAAATTTTAACACATATATTTATTTAACATCCTCTGCATCATCTTTAATAAGCTACTAAATGACCTAAAAAACAGATGAATCTCCATTCTTTATTGACAAATCTGTGTGTTTTATTTATTTTGCTTATATTGTAATTGTAATCTCACTTCAGTTTTTGTTGTTATGGATCTGATTACTTACTTGATACCAAAACAAAATGTTACTTCCCTATTCATGAGAGATGCAACTGAGAAGTGAGAAAATTTATTTCTACTCCCCCCCTCTACCTTTTGTTATAGACACACAGCTATCTGTATATGCACACATTCTCTCTCTCTCTCTCTCTCACACACACACACACACACACACACACACACACACACACACACACACACACACCAGATGACAGCTGTTCTGAGGTAGGAATCAGAGATGACAGAAACTGATCGAAGTTGAAACTAATGATAGCTAAAGAGTAGACACAGTGAATAATAGGTCAAGAAGAAAGATGATGCACTTTTGTTATTGCTTCAAACTGTGGCAGCAACCCTCTGCTCAAGCTGAGGAGGTCGGTGATGATGATGAAGATGAAGATGGGTAAGAAGAGATCAGGAGTGATGCTCAACTTGAATTGATTCTAGATTTGTCTGAGGAGGCTGTTATGTTACAAAGAGAATTGTGCATTTTGATATGAGAGGAGAGGGAGAGAATCTAAAAATAGACGTTTAAAGCTTTTTGTTGTTATTTATAGTTGACATTGAAATGGATTGCAAAGGATGAGTAGTTTTAAGGTTGTTGTATTTGTTATCTGTTGCCTTTTTTATTCAGTCATAAAATGAAAGAGAATGGAAATAATAAGAGTGGTATTTATTGTTTAACAAAAATACATAATGCATACTAAAAATTGTACCTTTTGTTTTCTCTGGACAGATACTGTTTTTCAGAACAGTAATACTGAAAATATGAGTTTGAAATCCTATTCTGCTTTAGGAACAAAACCATTAACATCACATTGATGAATAGATAGATGGATGGATAGATTGATAGATAGACTGTATTGCAGATTTAAAGGGGGGTCGATCGAGCACAATGAGAATCTCAAGTATTAAGTGTATTTTTTTCCCCCTTCCATTCAGTTTTACTAATAATCACATTTAAATCAAAATGTCTTCCATGATGTTTTTGTAATGGTTTTCCTCAATGTTGTTGGCGCTGTATCTCTACATTATATGCTGTTGTAAATTTGTATGCTTTATTGTTTTTAACTTTTTAAAATTTTGGGGGTTGGTGCCTTTCTCAGACAGCTTTGCTCTCTCTCTGGCTGAGTGGATGAAACAGTGAAGTAGAGAGGACGAGCAGCACGAACCATCAGTGTTGTATTTTTGGCTCATCATCACTCTTCCCTATATCCATCCTCCAGGCAGCCATCTGCTTCTAACTTTTCATCTCCCACACATTTGACTGAGCAAGCAAATGCTCAGTTTTTCCAACACCCACCTTTAACGCACTCCCAGTGCTGTACAGCAGCCTAGTCTCATCACACTCAGGCTCTCTTCATATTGCGTCTCACACACACACACACACACACACCTGCTGTGGCTGCAGGCGTCTAAGTAGCTGTCCATACAGTTGAGTCAGGAGTTCTGGACATCATGGTTGCTCAGGGAGAGGAGGTGATGGCGGTTCAAGGGCTGGGTGAAGAAGGCTCAGCAGAGAGCTGGATTGGGCTGGGTGGGATGGGTTTCCCGACTCTGTCCTTGGTGGCTAAATACTCCTGTCTGTTGTGCTGGACCCCCAGAGAGAAGAGCTCTGTGGAAGAGGAGATCAAGGAGAAAGAGGAGGCCATCAGACAGCACAGCTGTGAAGTGCAGGTAAGGAGTCGTTGTCTATGAGTTTGTCTGTTCCTAGTGCGGTGGACACAGAGAGACAGAGGATTTTTACAGACAGATAAATTTGATAGCATGGCTATAGATGTTTAGGATAAAGACTGATAACTTCCTTGTTGTTGTAACCAAAAACCCTTGATAGGAACACACCTGCTTTCTGTTCCCGAAATAAAAGTGACCAGCAGTTAGCATTTAGCCAGCAGTCCTAGACACTTGTTCAGAAGCACAGTCACTGTTTGTCAGAGACAAAGAGGCTGTCCTTGTGTATCTGACTCGTCTGAGCCTGATAAATGGACTCTATTTTGGTGCGTGCGTGTGTGCTGGTGTGCTAGCTGAATTTCCCAGCTGCACTGCAGGGTAGCCTCAAGCAATTTTGCCTATTTATATATTGTATTTCTGAGCTTTACATTGACATTGATATTTTGTGCTTGGACAACATTACATCACATTTCATTTAGCTGACAATTGTATCCAACAACATCATCTGCAGGTTCTCAATAGAATTTCTGTGTTGCTTTTGCAGACATCTATGTTTTACATGTGTCCATGTGTTCCTCCTCCTTTGCTCTCCACATGGGCTGTTACCTGTGAGCAAACAAACCCTGCTCAAATGTGATTTGTCAGACTAGAAATGAAAACCAGAGAGCTTACAGCCACAGTCTTGTCCTTCGCCCACAGATATATTTATGTATATTTAAATGCAGGATCTGTGTATAGACGTGAATTAACAACCTTCAGTAGCTTTGGACCTAGGTGTTAGGTTAAAGGCATAGTTCACCCAAAATTGAAAATTCACTCATTATCTACTCACCACTATGCTGATGGAGGGATGGATGAAGTGTTTGAGTCCACAAAACACTTCAGGAGTTTCAGAGGTAGACAGCGTTACAGAAAAATCCAATAAAGTAAATGGTGACCACTTCTTCAAACGTAAAAAATGACAGAAAAAAAAACATAAATTGCCCCATACTGCTCCTGTGGCTTAAAAAGTGTTTGTAAATCCCGAAATTCAAAATCGACACAAAATGGCTTAATCTACACCATGTTTTTACCCTAAATGTCCGCTGTTATCCTCAGCCAGGACCCGCGTTCATGCCCACACAGCGCACAAGCTCGCGCCTCTATGCTCTCGCCCAAGGGGCACGTGACGACATCTGCAATACTTGCAAGTTCTCACGATAGCTGCAGTTTCTGCTGCAGTAACTGCTCCACCCCTCCATCGGCATAGTGGTGAGTAGATAATGAGTGAACTTTCAATTTTGGGTGAACTATCCCTTTAAGATAATCATGTCTCTGAATGGATCACCCATATGCTGTTCTTCTACACATGCTCAATCTAATATAACTAATATCATAGATCTCAGATAGAAATTAACATTAACTTCAGTGGGATTTTCTAAAAAACACATGTATAATTTTCATTGTTACCTAAGTTTGTCCATCACTTACAGTGGATTTTCAGGAGCTTTTGTATGTGACTGGATGCAATACGACCCATATATACGACTCTACCACACCACTTCACATCTGTATGATGAGATCTAGCTGGTTAATTCATGGTCAGGTCAAACTGATACATTTCTCAGGAAAGGTCCTGTTTTCTTTTCCCTTACTGGAAATATGTTTTACACTGTTAATTAAAACTTGTATCTGTATGGAGATTAGCTCTTAAGAATATGGCATCACATCAAATTAATTAATCATCATGCTTAACTTAACTCTTAGTAAAGCCATTCTGAACAATTACTGAATCCATCAGTGCCTTCTACAATTTCCCCTGGAATTCAACAAAGCCATATCCTTAAAGCTTGGTCTTGACTCTTTCTTTGTCTGATTTTTTTTACCTCTACAGGACTTACAAGATGAAGTGGGGAGGGAGAGTGGAGAGCTGCAGCGGCTCCAGACTCAGCGTCAGAAGGTCCAGGAGACATTGGAGGAGCTGGACCAACAGAAGGGCTCCCTGGAGGAGCAGCTGGCTCACATCCGCCAACAGACCACCCAGGAAACACAACTGGTAGGTGTTGTTGGCTTTTCTTTCATGGCAGAGTCAGTTATGTCAATACAGGATAGCTATGTCATTAAAGAAATGGCTGATAATCAAAGAGAATTCATGATGGTTATGTTTATCACAGATCTCATCGCTGCAGTCGGAGCATGAGGAGCAGGAACAGATGATATGTCAGTATGAGGAGGAGCTTGTCCAGGCCCGAGAGGAGCTGCTTGCTCTGCAGGAGGAGAGCAGGAGGCTGCAGGAAAAAGTCCAGGCTGCACAGGAGCAGCTCACACCTCTACAAGAATCTGTGCGAGACTCATTCAAACAAGTAGCACAGGTTTGTTTGTGTGCATGTGTCATGCTCATGAACATTCCCTTCCTGCACAGAAAGTTTACCTGTTTCATTGCTCTCTGTCATTTTTCTATGAACTCATCCATCTCTCACTTAGGTTCAACAGAAACTGAACAACCTTCAAGTGGAGGAAAGGTCAGTGACTGCCCAGCTGAGCTGGAAGAGAGCCCTGGAGGACAGCTCTCCTGTCATGGTTAATGGAGCAGCAGGTACTGCAGCAGAGCTGCACCAGGGGGACCCCTTCCAACAGGACCTCTTCCAGGAGGACCAGCCTAAAGAGTTGAAGCTGGAAGAACCAGCTGCTGTCTGCAGTATTCAAAAAGAACATTCAGATCAAAAAGAGAAAGGAGCAAATGAGAATGAAGAGGAGGAGGAGATGCAGGACAAGGAAGATGAAAGTCCAAATACTCCAGACGAGGAAAAACCGAGATCTGATGCATTGGATGATCTTTATAGTAGTCTGGCCTCCTCTGATATGTACAATAGTCTGTCAACCTTCACCAAGCCTCGGGACAACACTGTCAGGGTAATAAATACACGTCTGCTTCAGCTGTCAGTCATTATATAAATGGAAAGAAATTAGGGCAAGTTCTTACTACAGTTTTGCAGTGTGTCAACATGATGATTATGAAAACATCATTTTATTTGTTTTTGTTGTCCTCTCTGTTTCCATGTCCAGGAATTTAGTAACCATGAAGTTTCATCAGAAGTTGCAGATGATGCAGACAGATCATCTAATGAGAGCTCACCAAAGGTAATGACCCAGACTCACTGAAGTTTAAATTCTGTTTTCTTACTTTCCAGAGTTTCTGTGAATTGTCATTGGACTGAAGACTTGTTAGTTATATTATATTAGTTCCCTCGAAAACACATTATGGATGCAAAGGGATCCGACCTGATCCTTTATAGGATTTTAAGACACATTAATTCAAACATGTAGCGTGGATGCAACCTTCACGTCAGGCAGTGTAGTGTGCAACATAATCATCAGAGTGCTGTCACTGTTCTGAAGGTGGCATCATCAGACCAAGAGAACAAACAGGAGCAAGCAGAGATGCCTGAATCCACCACCACCCCCTCGTTACCAGTCGGCCCCCTGCCGCCACAGACCAGCCCACCAACCCTGCCTGAGATGGACTTCTTTCATTCAGACCCCTTTACTGACCGTAAGTCTCCACAAACATATTAACTGTTTTTAACGGCTTAAAAATGAAACGTCACGCTTCATGCTGAGGTTTTCTGGTAAAGATCAACAACTTCAAATGGAATTCAATGTTTCTTCCTTCATAGATGATCCATTTAAAGATGATCCATTTGGAAAAGCAGATGTTGCAGGTAAATTCTCTCAATCAAACACTGTCTAGAAGGAGATGAACATAAGAATTAAACTCTGTCATTATCACATTTTCCCAATTTGTATCTGTTGCTGTTTGGTTTCAGATCCATTTGGAGGAGATCCATTTAAAGGGACTGATCCCTTTGCTGCAGACTCTTTCTTCACACAGACCTCCAGTGCCCCCTTCTCTTCAGAGGACCCTTTCTCAGCCCCAGCTGACCCGTTCGGTGCCACCACTGGTGCACCAGAGCCAGACCTGTTTGCAGCCAAGCTGAACAATGCAGCTCCTGCTCCAGCAGCAGGCCCCGACCCCTTCACCTCTAAACCGACAAATCCAGCTTCAGCAGCCAAGGATCCTTTCACAACCACAGGGAACAACATGGCTGAGTCCGACCTGTTCTGCGGCAAAGTCAATGCCACAACAGAGGCAGATCCATTTGGTTCTCAGGACGGAGAGACCGATCCGTTCAGCTCCTCGCCAGTCAGCTGTGATCTGGCAGTGGTGAGTAGTTCTGTTAAACCTGGTCACAGTGCACTCACACCCACATTGATCAGGACAACTGATGAATGTTTTGCAATGCAATAATGGTTTGTTATAAACATGGCTGTTGACACTCTAATATTTTTATCTCAGCAGTTGTACATGAGGATATTTATATTTTCATGATTGGGTTAAACACTTTTGTTTTATGCCAATATACCCTTACAATTTATAAGTGAAAAACTTCTGAAAGAAAAACAGAATGGTGGATGAATGTTGGTTTGGAGGATTTATTGGCAGA